CCCAGTGTTTTACTCATCTCTCTCCCTTTCTGGTTGATTTTTTGCATTGTTCTTGTATTTTTCTATTGCTTTAATATGCCGTCATAAGTAAAGGAGGAGTAAAAAAAACCCCACAGGTCTAACATGATGCATATGAAATGGGGGCAAGACCTGCAGTAAGTCAAATGCCATATAGTTATTTCTGTGGGTTTAGCCAGTAGGGGCATGAACCTAGATGTAAAGGTCTGGGCGTGTGTGGGTGAGTAGAGCTTTCTGAAAGTCTTCATTTTCCTGCATAAATTCCATCTTTTCAGTGACTGTTCCACCCAGGGAGTATGATGGGGCTGTTCTCTTTGGTTTTAGACGGTGAACACTGTGCATAAATTGACATCTGTTCTAATGATACTTAAGGAGTCTGGTAATGTGCACTTGTATACAGAGAGCGTATCCCTTGGGTATACTGACAGCAAGATGAACATTTGATACTATGTCGGGATGGAGTGGGAAGTCCTGACCTCAGGCGATACTCAACCTTTCACTGAGTGTTGCTGTTGCTCTGAGCAACCTCTCACTTTTGGGGCAGCAGCAGAGTTGGGAGTCTGACATACAGAAAGCTGAGTCCTTTGGGGGGAGGAAGAGGAGGGACTTCTGGCCATCCACATTTCCTTCGGTGTAGATGTTCTCTGCTGCTGGACTTCCAAGCTTGTTACCATGAGAGGGTTAACTCCTCCCATTCAGGTCAGCTGAACTTCCAGTACAAATTGCATCTTGAGCTCCGTTGTCTCCCAGAAAGAATTGTAGGTATTTGGAGCCCTTTGGATTCTTGACCCCATCCCTATGGCTTCTCCCCACTCAGTTCCATAGTATAATGGTCTCAAAGAAAGAGATAGCTATAAATACTAAGGATACTACCAAATTTGCTCCTCTCTCTTTTATGTAGCTCTGCCCCCTTTCTGCAGTTTTCCAATGCTTTTGGCTATCTGCTGCACCACTCAGCAGAAGATATGCTCCTGATAGGATCACAAGGTATATTTTGAATAAAAGATTAGAGAGAAAAACTTGGTCAGATTTCAGCCATCTGGAAAACTTAAGAACGCTTATGTGTTGCATGATAAAGGGATTTGTTTAGAGTGGCATATTAAATATAGTATGCTGGGTTTAGTTCCTGGATTTCTACTATCCAAAGGGGTGCTGCCCAACTTGCATGCTTTTGCTTCTGCTTGGTTACTTTGGATTCTTTTGACAGCGTTATGCATGCATTTTAAAATTGTCAGTCTGAGTGCAGGTGCTGAGTATCTTGTTTCTCTAGCTACTCTTTGTTTAACAAAAGTTCATTAAACAATCTTGTTACTGTCTTGCAATTAACAAGAGTTCCTAAAAACACTTTGCAGTCAGTATTTTAGGTGTTGCAAATCAGCTCAAAGCTCAGTAAGCCTAAAAACTGGGGGGGGAGAAAAATGAGACTTGTTCAAAATACAATAACCTCTTTAGTTACTTGGTAGACTTAAATTATATATCATGCTTGTATTTTGATTGCATCTATTTTATGGGAAAAACTCTGATATTTTTAATAGCTTTGTAATAAAATGTGATTCTTGTCTTTTAAATTTTGTTGTGGAAAGAAATATGTGAAACAAAGTTGACTGCTTGAAGACCTTGCAGAATAGTATTTTTCTTTGCTTCAGCATGTATTCATCAGTGATTCTGGTAAATTTGACAAGTAAATCTTTGAAACAAATATTAGTTTGAATTGCCTATGAAAGACCTCTTAATTTGGAAAATACATTAGTAGGGTGAATATAATGTCATAGTAACTGGAAAGGAAAGTAACTGATAAGCTGGCTGAAACTTTTTAAATAAGATTTATTCTGTTAGAAAATGTCAATTACAGCTGACATTTCTGAATTTCACTTTTCTGTAAATATATTTTGAAGTGCAGAGCTTTGTATAATAGGGGAGAGACCTAAATTAAAATCATAACCCCTATCTAAAAGTTGAGGTTATGACAGGTCTATTTCATGGAAAAATAATATAAAAAAGGTTTTTCTATTTTTGTGATAAAATACATGTTTATATAATAGCTTCATTTTGCAGAAACATTCATTGTTCTGTAGTCAATGTAGAACAGCAGTACCAAATGAGACAGTTTTCCTGCTACGTAAATCTTACTAGGTAAACTCAGTACCCTTGTCCTTTAAGGAACAAACAAAACCAACTAAACAAAGCACACAAACCTCAAATACACACCCCCAAAATAAAATAAAAAAAAAAAAAGCCTGATTTTTTGCATGTTTCAGTTCTTAGAAATCTCTTCCTTCATCATTCAGGGAAGTTTTCTCCCTCTTCAATGGCCTTTCTATTTTCTTAACTGTGAATTATCAGCCCAGGGGAACAAAAAGATGAGGTTAGTCCAAGCTCACATATTTAGGCTAAATATTTTCTTAAATGCTCCTCTCTGATGCAAGAGAAAATAAGCTTATCCAGCACTGAGTCACATGCAGTTGTCCACAGATACATTGTTAAAATTTAGGTAATGTTGTATGTAGAAAATTAATGTATTACTGCAGACTAACTTTATAGAGAAAGTACATTAGGTTATGATTGCTAATAGTAATAGGGCTCGTGATTGCAATAGATTAAAAACAATCTAAGTTGGGAAAGTGAAGGTTTAGGGGTTTGGTTTTTTTTTTTTGTTTTCCTCCTCAATTTTCTGCATTTCTGATAAGCAGAGTTGCTAGTTAAAATTGGAACAGTAACTAGCCCCCCCCTTGGCGGTATAAATATCTTCACAAATTTAACCAATACAGTGCTGCCTTGCTAAGACTCCAGTGTTAAAAACTAAAAAGGTGAGGTCTGTTGCTTTGGGGAGGACCCTCACAAATTAACACTGGGAATTTCTGTGTGGAAAGATGTGGAGCTGTAGTTTCTGGCGTTTGATACTAAGTGTGTTAGTACTAACTTTTGATAAGAATATGCCATTTCAAACAGATTTAAAGACACTGTTGAATGCAATTTCCACTGATTTTGGTTTTAGGAACTCTTTTAAAAAAAAATAGTCACTATTTTCTCCCCTATATATTAATTAATAAAATATAACCAACAAATTATTTCTGTATTTTATGAAATTATATTTACACAGAAAAATGTAGTCTAATAGTACTCCCTGCAAGTGCCAGAACTGAGGGACTCTGAATTTGATACGATTGCCTTGATTTATTGGCCAGTAGAGACTACTGTTAGGGAAAGGGTGAACTCATCTGGGGGCTAGGAGGGAGAGGTGGGGGAAGGGTATGAGAGCCATTTAAACATTGCTTATTAAGGTATGTTTTCCAGTAATTTATATAGATTTGTATTTGTCATCGTAGGAGAAAGTAATGAAGAAAGGACTTTCAGAAACTGGATGAATTCACTGGGTGTAAGCCCATATGTTAATCATTTATACAGGTAAGGCTTTTTTTAAAAACAAGAATTTGATTTCGTTTGCATGGCAAGGGAAGAAAGAAGGGAAGAAGAAAGGGAAGTTCTGTTTCTACTTGAACAGTGATTTCCAGGTTTTCACACAGCATGATAGGATTTTCACACAGCGTGATAGGAACTTCAAAACTGGTCTGTGGAACCACATTAAGCAATGTCTGAGTCAGATATTCTGGTCGTCATTTAGAAATCCTAGAAAACCAAAGCACTTTTGATGTGCTCTCCTTGCTCACTTGTACTTTGAATTACATTTTTTAAAAAGTTGAGATAACTGTGTTTTATAATGCATGGTTTCTATTTTCTCTCATGATATGAAATGACCACAAACCTATTTTACAAGTAAATGTAATTCTAAACTGGAAGAGGGGATAGGTGTCTGCTGATCAGACTGTAAGAATCAGTGTTGTATTCCCTCAAAAAGAAAAGCTTTTTAACATGCTTTTTACTTGCTTTTGATTACTTTAAAACTGTGCCAGCATTCTGTCCTATCAATAAAAGATGGAATATAGGGAGCGACTGTGAACATACGTATACTTGAAGTCAGGTTTCATTGTTCCTGTTTTATGACCTTTGTAAAGTGATACCATCTGTAGATACTTTAACATGGAGAATTTCATTTAGTGAGTAGCTGAAGGGGATTATCAGGAATGCAATTTATAATGGGAAAAAGTTTTTCTTTTTTTTTTTTCTACAAGATAAATATATTGGGTTTGATTATTCTTTAGCAAAATAAATCCGTAAGTGCAGACTAAGCACTCAGGAATTCTTTTGGAAAGTCCTGAGGAAACTAAAACTAGATCAACCAATGAAAACCTATTTTCCTAAATGTTTTATCTGTGCCCACCCTGTGAAAGCAATAATATTTAAATAAAGTTGATAAAACCAGTAGCTGTGCTTGCTTCACTGAGATTTGTGAAAATTACGAAATACACAATTTAATGTAAATCATCACAGGTTAGAGCAATAGGTTATAGGCCAGTTTCTCCACAGAGTGACACAAATTTTTATTTATGTGATTGCAATTTTTCAGCAACTTTATTACACTTAAATAAGTCTCAAGTACTTAACACTTCCATTGTGAGTATGAGCTACTGTACTTAAAAACATTGTTTTACTCTGGTTTAGTGACCTCTCTGATGCTTTAATAATCTTCCAATTGTATGATATGACTCGTGTGCTGGTTGACTGGAACCGTGTCAACAAACCTCCTTATCCATTACTTGGTGGTAACATGAAAAAGGTGGGTAGCTACTCTGTAGGTAGTCTGGTTTCGCTGTCCGCTGTTCTGTTTGTAATAGTCTGGGTTGTCTACCTCTGTCAGATTTGCACGCTGCTGGGGGGACAGCGGGAGAAGAGAAATAGATGCTCTTACACTGTGAGGCATCTCATCACAGTGCAGTTTTATATGCTGCCAGGAGAAACTGTGCAAGACTTGCAGAATCCAGAAGCTTTCAATTAGTTTTATGATGATTATGGATCCAGAAAATAGAGGAGAAAAGAAATACTGTCTAAGAATCAACCCATTTAAATATTTTTCCAAATTCAGATTTGATGTAAGAATATGTAAATTCATTGGCTTTAGTGAAAGTGAATGTGGTTTTCTCAAGTGTGAAAAAAAGATCATCCTTGGAATCTTGCATACTTGTATTTATAATAAAAGCTGTTATTTTAACCACAGTATAGAAAGGCTAGAAATATTTCTCTAGCTCCAAATCTCACCATAGGTAACAGTAAGCCAAAGTAATTCAAAATACACATGAATTATAGGTCTGTATTACAGAAATATTAAGGTATTTTCATTATTTGCATGCAACATTTATTTTTAGATTGAGAATTGCAATTATGCAGTAGAACTCGGGAAGACAAAAGCCAAATTCTCACTGGTTGGTATTGCTGGACACGATCTAAATGAGGGTAACCCAACTCTGACTTTGGCTTTGGTATGGCAGCTGATGAGAAGGTGAGTTAGGCACAGTATATGATAAATGTGTGTGTATATATGTATTTGTGCATGTGCATATATGTGTGTGTCTGTATTAAGTCACTTTAAAGCCAGTGTTAGTTCACCCAAAGGTATTTTAGAGAGCCATCTCTGTATATCCCTCTTCTCCAAGATAAACATACACAGTTTTTGTAGTTATACATATTGTGTAGTGGTTGGAACCACAGTTAATACGTATGTGCACACATCCGTTTACATAGAGTATTAAAGCCTTATATACTACAACTGGTTAAAATTATAAATCCTGCAGCAAGTAAAAAGAGCACAAATGATTTCATGTTGATTCCATGTACCTTTCTGCAAGTAATTTAAATACCTGTAAAATCAAAAAGATAAATAGGAAGAGGTAATATGCTATAGAAGTTAAAATGGGAAGAAATTTTTAGGCTTTCATAGCTATGGTAATGTAACTATTGTAAAATCAAAATCTTACTAGTGCACTGAGCAGGAAAAAATATAATTTTATTTCAGTAAAGGGTATTTTATTGCAGGTATTTTCCACGAGTTAGTTTTCTTACACCTACCCCTAAACACTCAGTGCTTTTTCTTTCTCAGGCTGTTCTGATTCACTTTTCAAGGTGACTTTGATGGTAGGGAGTTATTTAAGCTTATAAAGTAAAATTAGGTATAGTGTGCTAAGTAAAACAAAACAAAAAAAAGATGATGTAATAGTGAATGTTACGAGTTTTGGGATATTATTTTTTTCTTGCAACAACCAAAAAAGTGATTTACAGTACTAAATAATTTGCAAGATAAGGGTGCATAATGAAGATGACTACTTGGCATCATTAATGTGCGTAAGTAATATTTTACTTGTAGCTTTGTACTGTCAGCAGAGTCAACTTCTACCACTCGCTTCAACTCAGACTGTTGTTTTCTTTATGAAAGGTATACTTTGAATGTACTATCAGACCTTGGAGAGGGGGAAAAAGTAAATGATGACGTTATTATTAAGTGGGTGAATCAGACACTTGCAAAAGCAAATAAGAAAACTTCTATTACGAGTTTCAAGGTAAATCAGTTTAATATATTTTTCTTTACATATATAATCAGGGATTTTTAACCTAACCTGTTAACAATTTGGCTTTAAGGGTGGCTCTCATCAGGTAGTGTAACTGTGTAAGGAAATATTTCTGATAGTCTGTGAAACCTCAAAAGTATTGTACATGTATCTTAGTAAGAAACAAAAATAAATCATAATTTGTTACTCTGACAAAACAAACCGGCGTGCAAACAATGACCTCAACAAAAGCTAAACTTTCAAAGGGGCTTTTGTCCAAAATTACCAATGGTTGGGCATGGCATGTCATAGCTATTGAATTTTTGGATATAGGCACTCTCATGCTTGTACAAACATGAACGATTTTGGAAATACGGGGCGGGTGGGTGTAGTAATCGCTGTTTTTAGTAACAGCTGGTCAAAAAGACGCACTCTTACGTGACAGAGCCAGGAGAGGGAGCTCGAGTTAAGCAGCGACATCTTTTGTCTTCATGGGCACTGCTGATGTGCAGCAGACCTGTACGAACCAGCTTTCCCATTCAGCAGATACAAACAAATGGATAAAAGAAGCTTTCCTTTCACACTTTTTAAGTGTTAAACCCTAAACAAGTCGTATGTATGTCAAGTGTGCCATGCTGTGTGAATCTCATTCTTTAGAAATGGTAGATAAATAATTGTACTTGCATGCAAATGTAACTTTCTTATACAGGTTCTTTGTATATTCTGCAACAGTTATGTCTGTAGTTCACAACAGGAACATAAGAACCTAGCAAGTTAAAAATTTGAGGGCTCACTGTGTTATTAACTGAATTAGATAAGCATTAGGCAAAAGGTAATATCAAATAATTTTATAGAACAAAGTACTTCCTTTTCACTCTAGAAGGTAACTTAGGTCATCATCTTAAAAGGGATTGCTTCTTCTCTTATTTCTACCTAAATTGTAGTAATGGTGGTATAAGTAAGTTCAAAGTATGAAGAGAACCTGTCTCAGCATCTTGCTTTGGTATGCCTGTGTTTTTTAAGGGGCATTGCTTGGGGTTTTTTTTTTTGTTGTTTTTTGGGGTTTTTTTGGTTTTTTTTTTGTTTTGTTTGTTTGTTTTGGTTTTTTTTTTTTTTTTTTAAAAAAAAGGTAATTCAACTGATTGTACATCAGTAAAGATAAGGAGCTACTGATGTGAAGTAACATTATTCATTATAATTTTTTTTTTTACTAATGATTTTTGACAACATCCACTTATGTGTTTTCTTTCATAATTTGAATTTTTGTCTCTATTTTGGGGTTACTGCAGCAGGAAGTGTAGCAGAGAAAGCAGAGGTCCCTGATATTTCTTGTGAGCTATGAGAGCAAAATTTTATTGAGTTGCCATTAGTTCAAACAATAAAAATTGCAAAAGTGTGGGTTTTGGCTTATGGTCTTGGGGAGATACTTCATGCATTCAGTGTCTTCAAGTAGATATATATTACAATTTTTAAATGTATAGTTAATGTTGTGGTTCTATGGGACTTCACTGAATTTGAATTCATAGTTCTGGCCTGGTGGCGAAAGCAGCCATGTCGTGTATGTGGCTTATGTGCAGCGCCTCACTGCACTGTCTGCTGGCTGTTGGTTTAACATCATCAGCTGCTTGTCTGCCCTAACATTTGGGAAGAAATAATTGCAGTAATAGCACTTGCGGTTTTAAGAACAGAAGAAAACACGTGTGTGTGTGTATTAAATACAAAACACAGACTGCTTCTACTAGCTTAGAATACCATCTGAATTGAAAAGTAGTAAGAAGAGTGGGCCATAAACTACCGTAGAATATAGGATCATTGGAAGAAAAGGAGAAAAGGAAAAGTAGTTGAGGAATGTAGATACCTTTTTGTTTTCTTGAAAGTCTGGTCCTTAGACTTCTTTCAAAGTTCCCTTCCTCCCTCAGGGAAGGGGAAGAGTTTGTTTCATTAAATAATTTTAAACCATTTGTGTAATAATAATAATAATATCAACACAGAGTGTGAATCTTAACGTTTTGATTGTGGAAAAGAACATTAGACCTTATAAAGAGGGGGGAAAACCTTCACACAATGAAGTAACAGAATATGCTGCTATCTTTCAATAGGAATGTAAGATGCGCTGTAGAACTTTTTTGCATTATGAAGTCAGAATAATCAAAGCAAATTCGTCCTACTAATGTTTTGAGTAAATTTTCTATTTATTTATTTATTTTTAGGACAAATCCATTAGCACTAGTTTACCTGTCCTAGATCTAATAGATGCTATTGCACCAAAAGCAGTTCGTCCAGAAATGGTCAAGAGAGAAGATCTTTCTAATGAAGACAAATTAAATAATGCTAAGTAAGTTTTAAATTAATACTTTGTATTTTCATGAAGTGCAGGAAGTGCGTGAATTCATGGTGCAATGAAGGGTTTACTGATTTATTAACAGATTACACTAATTTAGTTTATTTGCTTCAAATACAATATATCATAAATTATAATATTATGGAGCTATTTTTCTAGCATATTTGAAATATGAAGTCAAATTCACAGCTCTTATGACCTACCACCACAGCACTGCAACTGGTTTATTAATAGCCTGCCATAATACATGCTGTCTTTGACAAAAACAAATGCTTTGATAACAGGTAGCAAAACACCTACCAATAAAATTGCTAATACATGCTTTCTTGACAGTAATGTTCATTTTCTCAAAGTACTGACTGAACAGGCATATCCCGCTATTAAAATATGTTGTGAATCTTGGCACACTAATAGGTGCAAGAAAAATAACGCTATTTATTTTCTCTTGTTTTCCAAGATATGCCATTTCAGTTGCTCGAAAAATCGGTGCTCGTATCTATGCTCTCCCAGATGATCTGGTTGAAGTGAAGCCAAAAATGGTGATGACAGTGTTTGCATGTTTGATGGGAAGAGGACTCAACAGAATAAAATAATTAAGACATGTAATATAATTTTTTGCCATGTTAAGCACAATGAATGCCTCGCAGTTCAGAGTTCTGAAGCTTAGTATAAAATGAAAAAATTTGTATGCACAAATACCCTAATTAATGAAATTTTAATAATGTGTTTATATTAGTTAAAACTTCATTCCGTTTCATAACACACTGATTATTTATGAGTAATGCTGTTTTCAGAACATGTTCATTATCAAATTAATGTCACAGACTTGTATTGCATGAAAAAAAACCCACACCATATTAATGAAGCTTCATCTGTATTATTTTCCATAGCATTTAAGAATCTGTATCATTTTACGTATGTTATTTTAGGGCCCATTGTGAAACATTGTTTTCATTATTTTTAGTGGGTGTTACTTAAATGTATTGATACAAGTCTCAAGGTGCACTCCGATCCTGTTGTATTACTCCTAACTGCACAGAAGTTATCCTTGCCTTACTCTTTGCGAGCTTAACTCCTCTTGAAGCCAGTGAGAGTCTTGTCATTGACTTCAGTGAGAGCAAGTGAAGGCCTCTGATAATGTCTGGAAACTAACGAATATTGATAAAGCTGATGAAACTATTGTGTGGGAATAATCTTTAAATGTATGTAGCAGGAAACTTACAGTCTGTAAATTACTAAGCAGGAATTTAACCATGATTAGGTCTGCATATGTGTTAGCTTTTGCAGTTGGACTAAACATTTGATTTTTTTTTTTTAATTTTATTTTTCATAAAATAGTCTATAAGAAAGCAATAAAGAGCTGGCTATTCCAGTTTGGGGTTTCACGTTAATGTATTGCATTTCCTTATGCATGTCACCTTTGGTTTTTCTAAAGTGTGTATTGTGTGCAGAGGCCTGGGTGAGATCAAGTCCATAATTATTTTCTTATTCAGGTATTTGTACTCCTTTCTCTGCAGCTGCATATTTTCACTGAACATGCTGGAGTTGTATGTTTAATGAAGTTGTTACTAAAAGCCAAACAGTAGGAAAGAAAGAACAATAAATAAAAATGAAAGGCTGTTTTTGGTGTTTTTTGTTTTTGTGGTTTTTTGTTTTGTTTTGGTTTCGGTTTGTTTTTTTTTTTTCCCTGAAGTACAAAGCTGCTGCTTTCTTTCAGCTCCTGAAACATAGTCCTAAGAATCATGGTGACGGACCAGTTGGACTAAGCTTTGTATCTTTGGTATCTTGCACAACTATTACCAGAAAGAAGATGCATTCATTTAATTTCTAGTATATAAGGGGATAGTGGGAGTTGAGAGAATTAAGTGCTCGGATTTAGTTCTGGCTCTCTGTTTACTGGCTTGTATTGCTTGAAACTGCTCAAATTGCAAGGGCTTTTCAGGGGCAACCATTGCGTACGCTGAGCAGTCTAAGTTTGGCATACACGCTGAGCTGCATGTTGAAAGATAAATGACAGCTACCCGCACCTGAACAGAATTGTCTTCTCCGGCCAATGTTGATTTCAAAGAGGGCAAGTGCTAACCAAACACGATTTTTCTAAAGGAGGTTCAAAAAGAGAGTTGGACTTTCAGCTTATCTTGATCGTTACCCTGCGGCTCCTGATGGGCGCGGGCCCCGACCCCAGCCCCCCGAGTGCTGTTGGGAGGGAAGGTAAACAGCGGAGCC